GTGTGCGCGTGCGCGCGCGTGTGTGTGTGTGTGTGTGTGTGTGTGTGTGTGTGTGTGTGTGTGTGTGTGCGCGCGCGCGCGCGTGTGCGCGCTCGCGGGCTCCCGCGTGCACGCTGCAACGAGCGCGGAAACCGGGTCAACGACTTGCATTTGTCAGAACGCCTATTCCCTGTGTAAACGCAGCTTTAGTAAAACCAACGGAACCCCAATACGTCCACAAGCTTTTGCATGACCTGTGAAATAACTGTGCGAACCCGTGCATGTTGTGCTGGAGGTCGAAAAAAATCCAAAAAAGTCACATGCTACTTTGCGACAGCTCAAAAGCAAGCAGCCTGCAAACAAGTGAATGCAAACGTGGAACGCACCCTTCCAGAGCTTGTATCACAGAAGCCCCCACCACATGCCGTGCTGTTTCAATCCAACTCATCTGAGCACCTGTCACCATGCTTCTCGGGCTACTAAGGGTGAGTCACGTATTGTAACCAGACAGGGGCGCAAACCAACGCCGGCCTGCTCACACTGGGTTACAATGGAATAACACAGCAAGTAGTCTGTGGTTTTTCATGCATGATTTGGGCCTTATAATCAGTTGACTGATTGTGAGCTTGTGAAATAGACAGCTGAACACACACGATGCCCGCACTGCTTCCCCGGTTCTAGGGCTTGGTTGTACAGGTTGCTGCCACAGAAATGAGAATAATGAAAAGCACTTTGAAATCGAAAGCAGACGGTGGGCAGGGCTTGTACAAGCAAGGTGCGCACATGCGCCACGACTGCACCTGCGAGCTTCAGCATGGGCAACAGCGATGAAGCGAACCATCTTTTCGCGGCCTTCCGTTCACCCTTTTACCGCTCATATGCCTAGATAAATTTCGCAATATTCAATGCTAGTATACCTGTTACGCGTGGCTATACAGGCCCCCCACCGTGCTGCCAGCCCCTTGTTAGCTTTGTGATCTAGCTCAGAGTGCTGCAGCAGCGTTTAGTTGCCTGGTCGCCGCATCAAACTTACCACAAAAATATCATCAATCCAAGGTTTTTACGCTGGGGCCTGCCAGGGGCTGCCTGCTGCTCCTGGCCCACGCCGCTTGTGCTGCTTTCACCTTGGCACCTGGCTTTGCCTTGCCTGATTGCGCTGCAGGCTTCCAAACACACAATGGTGAAGCCCTTCTGGGACGCGCCAAGCAAGTCCAACTGGCAAGGTGAGGGCACAGGAAGGGAGACAGGCCCTGAGCTTGCGCAGCAAGCCAATTTCAGGATATCTGAAGAAACCCATATCACCACACCCTAATATCAACGCCAACATTTACGGGTGTGTATGGCGTCAAGTACTGTGTTATCATGTTTTTGCACCACCAAATGATGATTCTGGTTTTATTTTCTGTTGATTACCTTGGCCTCGAACCCTGACCTCCCGATCGACACCAACACTCCTGTTCCTCGTCCTTCCCTCCTCAACCGCCGTCCCACCCCAACCTCCAAACCCCCCGCAGCCTGGCTGGACGATCTGGACCTCAGCACCCCCTCCAAGGGGAACCAGTGGTACACCCTGCTGCGCCGCGGCCGCAAGCCGGAGGACTTCGCCGCCCTCAAGAAGACTTTTGACGCCCAGGTGCGGCGTCGATTACGCGGCAACGGCTGCGTTGTTTTGTTACTGCATCGCGCAATTGGCACGGTGAACCCCTGTGCGACGCATTTGGGGCCGTCATTGCCCGATGGCGGCAGCGACAGTCTCGGTGGGCGAGCGAGAAGCCCTTACTGCATACCACCAAAGACCATCTCAACCTGTCATTATGTGGCAGTGCTGTGGATGGGATCTTCAGTTGCAACTCACAGGCGTTGTATCATCCATTTGATAAATCGCCGCAAAACCGTACCTTATTGCAACTAGAACCGAACTTGTTCAAGCTGATGCCCCTACCCTCCTCCACCCCAGCTCGCCGCATGGCACAACACCGCTGTGGCGAACGAGTTCCGCCGCAACCTGGTGGCCCGCGTCGAGGTGGCGCGCGGCCAGCCAGGCGGCCAGGCCGACGGCGACGCCGGCGAGCAGGCCGGCAGGCGAGAGGACAGCAGCGATGACAGCAGCAGCGACAGCGACAGCGACGAGGAGATGGCGGAGGGGCAGGAGGAGGGGCACGGCACGCAGGGCACGGGGGAGGAGGGAATTGAGGGCAGGGAGTACGGGGCCCAAGAGGAGGACAGGGAGGGGCCGGGGGGCGGCGGTGTGCAGGAGGAGGGGGAGGCGGCGGCGGAGGACGGAATCGAGGATGGCCAGGGCGCCCCCACGACGCCGAGCCGGGGGCGCGGCCGGGGGCGCGGGCGCGGGCGCGGGCGCGGGCGCGCGC